CCGTGCTGGATATGCGTGGGACTAGTCTACTGTCCAGCAGGGAGCGGAGAAAGCATCTACAGAGCTTGGACAGAACGTACGGCTACGGGACATTCGTGGGCGCGGACGGGAAATTGCACGAGGGGATTGAGAAAGAACCGCTTGTGGATGCCGTGCCGCTCCGCGGTGTACTAGAAAAAGTACAGACTGGGTTTTCCTCGAAGAGCTCGATGTTCAAACGAGATCGGGATTGAGGGAACGTTGATGCCTGAGAGCCTTCGTAGTTGCTGTTTCGCGATGAACGCATTCTTTTTGATGAAGACTGTCCTCTTTGTGTACAAATCGTTAGTCTGCCTTCATTCTTGAGTTTCCAAGACCAAGAACATGTGATGGCAATGTTTGCGGGATTATCATCTCGCAGTTATCTGAGTGGTCGAATGGGGAAATGACGATGGTACATGCGATTGGCGAGTGTGAAAATGGGCTACATGAGTGATAGACAGACCGACTACCAAGATCATGGACGCTCGTGCCGTGGAGCCAGGAACGGAAATTGGAGCTGGATGTAGTAGATGTGGAGAACGGTGACGCGTAGGAACGTTTGTGCGCTCTATGAGATGGACAGCCGAGCTATTTGAGTTGCTTGGGTGCCAATCCGCACAGCACGAATGTGGGCATGAAAGAGTGCATTGGCGTTTGGGAAAATGCAAACGTAAAAAAGAATGCCGTTTGGATCATGTTTCGTGGGTAGCGAGGGTTCGTCGCCTGTCACATGCCATCACCAGCGAGGCCATCGAAGCTTTTGCCTCAAATCGTTCCCCGCAATCACCACAACTTACCTTTGAGATGGGAGAAGCGGGGCTGTCGTCGCACGTTTTCTGCAAGTCTCACTCGGAAAAGTTGCGTTCAAGTGATAGGCTCGAATGGTCTTGAATTCCTGGCACCAACCGCGCTGCTTCACTCGCGTTGGGCATCAGCAACAGTAAGCCAGGTAGGACGTAATGACGAGGGGGTTTACTATTGTTTTGTCTCGCGCTGTTGGCGTCACCAACTTGCAGCTGGTGGTAGACGGTCCAATGTCAGTAATCGACGGCGCATCCGAAACACGGCCTCGCTAGCCTTTTTCGATCCCCACTGATCAGCTTTCAGGAGGAAAGGGAGGCCCAGCGGTGTTGGCTCCTCGCCGCCCGTCTATCGTGTACGGGTAAGTGATTTGATGAAACAAGCTGCGGTTGGTAGACAGCCAATCAGTCGTTGGAGCGAGGAAGGCCTGAAGGCAACGACGCTTTCCCATCACGAGCTGATGTCGACGACAGGCTGGTAGCGAGGCCCACGGGTCGCTAGGTACCGCCGTGTCGTCACCTGCACGAGAACAGACGCCGCAGCCACACTCACCTTTTGCCCGGATCCGCCGTACTTGCGACCTTCGTCGACACTGACGCTCCGACACCGAGAGCAACTCGCCCACGTTGTGGCGCAGCCAGCTGAACACGAGGCCACGACAGTTGCATTGGGTCGATCTCCCAGATTAGCAGCGTTCGCCGTCAGGAACCATGCATAGACCGAGGGCTGTTAATAATCAGGGTCTAATACTGTCGAGAGTAACAGAAGTGACGGCTAAAAGGTGGAGGCCCAGTAAAAGACCTCGCGCATGAGGGATACCCAGGGTGCGACGCATGAAGTTCGATGACATCGACGCGGCCGGTCGCCCACAAGGCCTGCAATCAAAGACCTCTTTGTCATTCTGGTCGGTCCGCTACATAGCAGACTCCAGAACTTCAGTCTGGCGCTCGTGTCGCAAACACGGCGGTAAGTAACCTCTGCGTTACCTGCAAAGAGTCGCGATTGTGCAACCTGGTTTGTTGTCGGACAAGCCATGGGCGCACGCCCGGTGTGCGTCGAGATGAGCACGTCTGCCAATGGGAGGCTCCGCAGCGGCTTTCGCGAAGGATGCTGATCGTTTCAGCTTTAGCAGGCGATCGCCACTCCACACCATGGCTAGCTCTTCCCACTATGGAGTTATCGATAGGCTAGGATTCGGCATTCCCCTGCATAGTACACAGACCGTCGGCACAAACTTCAAACCTGACGTTGGCCCCCTGGCCATAGCCTCGCACCAATGCCTTCCCCTCTGAGTCGCTCTCCGCTTTTTTGTTTCAAGGACAATGCTCTTGTCATGACCACATGGCCAATGGTATCGGTATCGTGCCTGCCGAGAGCTCAGGACTTTGACGTTACACCACTTATCCTGCGCTCGTCCCCCTGCCGCTAAACCGGGAGGGGGACGCCAGCCGAAAGAAGCCCGTCAACCGTTGCAAGAGAAGCCTTGCTCCGTCGAATAGCCTATGCTTCTTCACGATGATCCGCCGGGCATAGGCTCCTGAGTCCTTGCACTGCTGTACGAGCCCGTCCCGACCGCCACAGGCTAGCCATGTGGGTAGACATGAGCCTCCGTATATAACTGATCTGTGTTTCGTCTGCTTTTCCTTCTCATCTCAAGCTATTCACAGCAGTACCAAACTCTTCTCTGTTTCTTTTGCTTTTGCACATCTTGCCTGTGGCAGATCACATTCTTTACCATTGCTGTGCGTCAACGAAGAGCTAGACTCAACAACACCTCGTCCGCCTATATCAAGTACCACTTGCTCTTCGACCTTCAAACCACCACAGCCATCACATTCATTTCATCGCTCAGCAGGTCTAGCGATATCCAAACGAGAATATCTACTTCTCACATCACTCTTTACAACATCAACATGTTTGCCCAAGCCAACCTCATCTTGGCACTCGCTGCCAGTGCCACCGCGCACATGATCATGGACTACCCTGTTCCATACGGAAAGGCTTCTCTGAACAGCTCTCCCCTCGCTCCAGGCGACTACCCATGCAAGCAACGCTCTGGCATGTACGAAGTCACGGAGATGAACCAGTGGGACGCCGGCGAGACCAAGACCATCTCCTTCACAGGCTCTGCTGTTCACGGAGGTGGATCATGCCAATTCTCCATCACTACCGACCCCGAGCCATCCGAGAGCTCTCAGTGGAAGGTCATCCAGAGCGTCGTCGGTGGCTGCCCATCGAACGTCACTGGCAACATTGAGCCGGCTGACCCCAACGGTCACGGAGCCGCTACCTTCCCTGTGAAGATGCCCGAGAGCATCCCCGACGGTCAATACACCTTCGCCTGGACTTGGATCAACAAGATCGGCAACCGGGAATTCTACATGAACTGTGCTCCTGTCAAAGTCGGCAGCGGATCCGGTAGTGCGTCAACGAAGAGTGACGCATCTGCGCTCTCCGCCCTTCCGGACATGTTCGTCGCCAACCTGCCCGATACATCTTGCAGCACCGCTGAGGGCGAGGACTTCAACTACCCCAACCCTGGTGAGAACATCATCGAGGGCAACGGCTCCTCTCTTGGAAACACTCTTACTGGTGCCGGATGCGATCAGATGACCAAGATGGGCGCTGGAAACGGACAGATGGGAACACCTTCCCAGCCTGAGGCTTCCCAACCCGCATCGAGCGAGGCGCCTGTCGCGACTTCCGGTTACGCCGCACTCCCATCCAACGGCGGTGGTGTTTTCGCCCCTGGTGCTTCTTCTGCTCCCGCTGCTGAGCCCACTCCTGCTGAGCCCACTGCCCCTGTCGCTACACCTACCCCCACCTATGTTGCTGAGCAGCCTAGCAGCGCTCCCGAGCAGCCAGCCTACAGCTCGCCTCCTCAGGTCCCCGACAACAGCACTCCCAGCGCACCCGCCAGCGGCAGTGACTGCACTCCCTGTGACAACGATGGCGCCGTTGTATGCATCGGATCCAACATGTTCGGTCTCTGCAACCGCGGATGCGCTGTTGCTCAGCCTCTCGCCAACGGCATGTCCTGCTCTGGTGGTGCTGTTGTCGCTTCTGTCAAGCGATCCGCCAAGTTTCCTCGCGCCCACCTCCACCGCCGCCACGGCTCGTCCCTCTTCATCTAAGAGTCTCGCAGACGTTCTTAGATATCCTCAACAGCCGTTGGCTACGAAATGCAATACCTGGAGTTTGGGAAACGGATCGGGGCACCCACGGATTGGGTCGTCATACAGGATGGGTTGGGTTTTGGGTCTCTTGTTCATATACCTCTTCATGATGCGCGGATGCCGTTCGGTTCTGGGCTCGTGACTGTTTTTGCGCTTTGCTGTTGTTACATTCATTCATGACCGGCTCTAGATTGAGCCGGCATGCCCTGTTATCTTCCTTGGAGAGAGTCGCTGTGATCTGCCTCGTGTCTACGAGCGCAACATACCCTGTACCTACTGTACAAAATCATACAAAACACTTGCTCGTTCTATACTATCTTGCTCATATGTATGAATGTCGTGACGCTTGCTTCCTTGCTCCCACTTTCCGTTCCTTCTAATTGTAAAACCACCTCATACGAGAAAGAACCTGAATGGTTCTAGAGCCTACATCGACGTTAGGTCAGCTACTTTACATTTGTTCATATTGATGTAGGCCGCAGACCTGTTCAGTTTTTCCCCAGGTTGTCGTCAATCTACCACTGAAGACAGCATGGGAAAGCCATGCAATTGCGCATTGTCTGCACTTCTTAATTATGATATTTCCATGACTCTATACAACTCTGGCGACAACTACAAACGTAGCGTAGCCAAGCAAAACCACGAGGCTATTCACCGGTTTATGACGTTCATGGGATGGCCGGCTTCTGATTGGGCAGCCTCTCAGGGAACAGCCAAGGGGACCAACTTCCCCTCTGATTCCCACTTTCAGCCCTAAGCTCCTGTCGCCAGCGCACACCCGAGCACGCGACGAGCCAAACGACAAATCCCCCTACGGCCAGTCGACTACTATTATTTCGTGCTGTCAGGCCCCAGAATTCTAACCGCGCCGAGGCCTTCGTTTCGCACGCCGCCGCCACTCAAGCTTAGGCGGTCATTGCGCTCGCCCCACTACTTCGCTGCCTTCACCTCCACCGTCTTCTTGTGCTCGCTCCCTACGCCTTACTGTTCAGACCGCCCACCATGGAGAACCAACCGCAGGACGTCGACCAGTCCAAGTACATTGACAATGCTATTCGCGCCGTCCGTGAGAAGAAGCCGCTCCCCGAGATTGACTTCACCCTGCATACTATGGAGGATGGAAACCAAGTGAGCACCCAGGAACGTGTGTGCAAAGGTATGCTCATTCTATACGTCGTGGCATGGCATTCCGCCAGCTTGTTCGCGTTTGCGCCGTTTTCGAGGCACACAGTCAGCTAACTGTGCCGTGTTCGCCAGACGTACAAGCACCCGCCTTCCACCCGCCCACCGACGAGCAATTCTTCTCCCCTCAAGATCGCACAAAGCCCAACATCCAATTTCTGAAGCAGCACTTCTACCGCGAAGGTCGCTTGACCGAACAGCAGGCGCTATGGATCATAAAGAAGGGCACAGAGATCCTCAAGTCGGAACCCAACATGCTGGAGATGGACGCACCCATTACCGTGTGCGGTGATGTTCACGGGCAATACTACGATCTCATGAAGCTGTTCGAAGTCGGTGGCGACCCAGCAGAGACGCGCTACCTCTTCCTGGGAGACTACGTCGATCGCGGCTATTTCAGTATAGAGGTAAGACGGCAGGAAAGCAACCGCTGTGCAATGGCTGACACTCGTAGTGTGTTTTGTACCTCTGGTCGCTCAAGATCTGGTACCCCAACACCCTCTGGCTTCTCCGAGGAAACCACGAGTGCCGCCATTTGACCGACTACTTCACATTCAAGCTCGAATGTAAGCACAAGTACTCCGAGGCTGTGTACGAAGCCTGCATGGACTCGTTCTGCGCACTTCCCCTAGCGGCTGTTATGAACAAGCAGTTCTTGTGTATACACGGTGGATTGAGCCCCGAGCTTCACACTCTAGACGACCTGAAGAGCGTACGCGAAACTCTACCCTTTCTCACGCCATCGCTAACCTTATCAGATTGATCGTTTCCGCGAGCCACCCACCCACGGCCTCATGTGCGATATCCTCTGGGCTGATCCCCTCGAGGAATTCGGTCAGGAGAAGACCAACGACTTCTTCGTCCACAACCACGTCCGCGGATGCTCATACTTCTTTTCGTACCCCGCTGCGTGCGCTTTCCTCGAGAAGAACAACCTTCTGTCAATCATCCGCGCACACGAGGCGCAAGATGCTGGATACCGAATGTACAGGAAAACACGGACGACTGGTTTCCCCAGTGTCATGACAATCTTCAGCGCGCCGAACTACCTCGACGTATACAACAACAAGGCTGCGGTTCTGAAGTACGAGAACAACGTCATGAACATCCGACAGTTCAACTGCACACCGCATCCATACTGGCTACCTAACTTCATGGACGTCTTCACATGGTCATTGCCATTTGTCGGCGAAAAGAGTGAGCAGAAGTACCAATTCACACTGGAGTATCATACTAACAAGTCGTAGTTACTGACATGCTCATTGCGATCCTAAACACCTGTTCGAAGGAGGAGCTCGAAGAGGAGACGCCCAGCTCTCTGGCTTCCGGTCCATCATCGCCACCCCTCTCCAGTCTCGACCCAGATTCGACCGAGTTCAAGCGACGTGCGATCAAAAACAAGATTCTGGCGATTGGTCGCCTCTCTCGTGTGTTCCAAGTGCTGCGCGAGGAGTCTGAGCGTGTCACTGAGCTCAAGACTGCATCGGGTGGTCGACTTCCCGCGGGTACGCTCATGCTCGGTGCGGAGGGAATCAAGCAGGCGATCCACAGCTTCGAGGACGCACGCAAGGTTGATTTGCAGAACGAGAGGCTCCCGCCGAGCCACGAAGAGGTGCGAAAGTCTCAGGAGGTTAGCCGAGAGCAGGCTCTCGAGAAGGCCACCAAAGAAGCCGACAACGACCAAGGTCTCGCGACTGTCGCAAGACGCATCAGCATGTAAGCATCGATCCTACGTAGCTTGTCGTGCAGTAACTAATTCGCCTAGGTCATCTGGCTCTGGACGCAGCCGGAGAAGCTAGGCGCGATTCAAGCGCTCGCGATCCGAGAGCGAAGCCGATAGACGAGCTATGACATTGCAGGATGTTTAGGTTCTTGATTTCTGTATTGGCGGGCCACCAAATGTCATCAGTATACCACGTAGGCGTATTCGGGCCAGCGTAACCTAGAGGACATCACCTTACGAAGCACGGTAGTAATTTGTCGGTCGACTGCTCAAGTTTAAGGGCGTCGACCTCTCATTGAATCACATAAAATCAAATTCCTATGACACCAGTGTACAGCCACTTGCTCCGTGTGAAGGCGTATGAGACTGCGCACGGGCCCGGGCCGAAGCTAGCTTTGCCGACCTACGTCAACATGGACATTTCAACAGCAATGCTCAACTTCAAGCCCGATGCCTCCATGGGTGGCCTCAGTGCCGCGACTGACGATCTTTCGCAAGACAGGACCGACTGATCGACTCCCGCTTGCGCGTCGCTGTCGCAATGTCCTCACTTCACGCCCGACCACCAGCCTCCGCGTGCGCTCCGCATCGACGCATGTCTCCCCGACCGCGATAAATCTGCGCCCGCACATCCCACCTCGGAACAAGGAGTTGTACGATGCACTGTCAGCGCTTAGTGGAGCCGCCGAGACCTACGTCAATATAAGCAGATTGCAATTGGCATTGCGGGGTCTGGCGGCGCAGGATGCTGTAACAAGAGTCGCTGGTACGGAACGCGCAGTTGAATTTGACGACTAGGGGCTGACGATGGACAGTTCTCGGTTTGAACAGCCAATTAAGTGCGCAGCAGCTTGCACGGCTACTACTCGCAGATCCACTCAGTGTTGAGGAGCAGTGGGAGAAGGAACTGGTGAAATCAGGCGACAGCAGCGAGAGAGCGGTATTGCTAAAGTATGTGCTTGATCTGCCATACTGGATAGCGCATCAGCTAACACGATTGTTGTGCAGATACGGCGACGATGCCGATGCACATGCGCCTTCGCCCCTCTACAAGGTCCTCTCCATACCCTCACGAACCCTTCAATCGCACAACCTAGAGGTCCTCGTCTCTACCATCAACGTCAATGTCGCAAAGTCTCTACCCCATATGGTAACAGAGAGCTCCACCGAATCGTTGCTGGTTCCCAAGCTCCAGGCCACTTCCGCACGAGGATTGCCCGTCCCATACCCGGTACACAAGACTCTAGTATTAGGAGAAGGTCTGGACAGCGCCATAGCATTTGGCAGATTCTCGGCGGATGGTCTGGACGAGATGGATGATATGGTGAAGATGGCCGTCGACCTCCCCGCTCCGTCGGACGAAGTCAAATCAGATACCCACGCCGCAAGCGCTCCCGTCAACCTCCAAGTTGGCACGAAAGCGCTCGACAGCTTCCGCGAGTCGATCCAAAATTCCATCATCTATGAGCGAGGGTGGTTCAAAAGTGGTTTGCCAACGCTGTCGGAGTGGTTAGTCCAAGACCTTCAGGCCACAGACGCTATCAAGCCCCCGATGAAGACGCTTGTAGCTTCTATAGCCGACGATGTAGAAGCGAGCATCACCAAACAAGACGCTGCTCGATTGCAACAGCTTGCTCCGGTCCAGACACAATCAGACGTCACAACCTCCATCGTCGGTCATCTCGAGACCTGGGCTGAGAAGTCTCATGCGGAGCTCCGTGACGAGCTTGATGAAGCCTTTACGGCTCGAAACTGGCACAAGTTGGCTTGGTGGAAGCTCCTCTGGCGTGTCGACGACGTCACGATGATAAGCTCAGAGATCCTCGAGCGGCGATGGCTCGTCTCAGCGGAGAAGAACAGCATCTACCTCGCCGGTCGTATGAACCAAGCTGGTTTCCCAGATGACGTTCAACACCTCGCCGTTGCCGACATCCCGGAAGTGACAACGCAGGACACGGCGCCGACAGCAGAGAACCCGCGAACAGATCTGTCCACTAACGTCCGGAAACCAATACCATGGCCCGAACACATCGCGGCTGCTCGCACAGAACTCATCAATGACACCGTGCCACCTCTCCAGGCACTCGCTCAGCGACTTCTCCTACAGACCTTCAGCACAACATCCCTCTCGACCGCTGCCTCCGCACTACTCTACGTCTCCATGTCTACCTTCTCAGTCTTCGAGGCTTCAGCCGTCGCGGCACTCGGTCTTACGTTTTCTCTTCGCCGCACGCAGAAACTATGGGAAGGTGCCAGAGAATCATGGGAGGGTACACTGAGGGAAGAAGGTAGACGCACGTTGAAGGGTACAGAGGAGAGAGTTAGATTCATCATCAAGAATGGAGGCAAGGAGTACGTTGAGGATGAAAGCGTAGCTGAGAGGAGGACAGCGAGGGAAGCTGTAGGAAAGGTCAGGGAGGCACTTGAGCGGATGGACGGTGGAGATGGCAAGGGCAGTGTATGATAGATATGTATGAACTTGATTCAGCGTCGCATGAAATGATCTTCCGTCGCAGTCGAATCAGAACGAGTCAATCTCTTAGTGATTATTCCCACTCCACTCAAGTATTCTGTAGTTGAGGGGTTGCCAGTGTCGCAACGTCTAGGTGAAGTAGAGTAACAAGTTGTTGGCGCAGGTTGCCTGCAGGTTGCACGTCCACTGCAACTTGCTCATTCACTGCAACCTGCTAACACCCTGTCCATTTTTTTTAAAGCTGAATCCAGGCTGGACTAGCACAGATTAGCGCAGATTTGGCGTGAATCGGCGTGATAATCTCCCCATTCACGGTGCGTTACGGTGCGTTACGGTGCGTTACGGTGCTTGACAGTGCTTCAGGGTGCTTCAGGGTGCTTCAGGGTGCTTCACTACGTAGCATCGCCCCTCGTCCTCGCCCCGCCTACTCTACGCTTCTTAGGAAAGCCCTGTCTATGCATAGACATAGCCTGCAATGTCTTGCTCTGCACAGCATCTAGTATTATACGTAGGTAGAAGAACATGCACGTACATTTTCTAAAGAGCAGCACGCTTAGGCAGCAGAGGTATTAAAGGTAAAGGCAGGCACTTTTAATTATTTGTACATAGCTAGCTACTTTCTGTAGAAGATGTGCTACTAGCGGAGAGACCTAATGCAAGAGGCAAAGTAGTTGCTAGAAGAAGTAGCTGAGATATAAAAGGGAAGGGTATACGCAGTTGAAAACAGCAAACTTAGCACAAGAAAAGAAAAAGAAGAGTGCATATGCTAGAGCAGCTAAGGCATTTTGCTGACCCTAAGCTCGAACAGACGCGCCTATTCGCATGTGCATTTGGCAAGAGTCCTAAACCACGCTTAAGAGGATGCTCGACAGAGGAAAGAAACAGAAGCTCAAGGATCAAACGTGCAGGACAAGACAGTCCGAAAGAAACTGTTTAATGTCTGTTCTAGAGAGATTAGCAATGTAGAAGAGTGAAGAGAAAAGTAAGCGCTTTAGGGAAGACAAGACTTACTTAAGGTCGAAAGAGGGGAAGAGCGGCCACGACGTTACTTCAACTTGGCCTTCAGATAACGGCCAAACTTGTTGTTGTAGTCCCTCTGACGATCGGCAGAGTCGGCCTTAGCCCATCTACTCCAGATACGCATGTGCTTTGTGATCTGCTCAAAGGCGACTTTTCGTGTCTCTGTAGATACTCCTCTAGCCGAGAAGGTAATGTGATAGTTGGTGCCCCGGCTAGTCTCATGAGGATTGATCGTATACTTGATCTGGTTCCTTGTTAGCACATGTGCAAGAGTCAAATTTCAGTACCTACGTCGTGCGAGTTGTGGGTTCCAGGTTCTGACTCGTCTGAACCCTCTTCTTGTGTAGGTGCAGTCGCATCGGAGCTGAATTCTGCATTATTGGGCATCGGCCTTCGTCCTTCAGGAGCCCGTTGCTTTCCAGAGGCCTTGGACGAGGATGCCGATTGAGCTCCAGCTTGTGCACTCTTCGGAATGTTCGCAGGTATCCTTACTTCTACACTTTGTCCCTAATCATAAAGAGTTAGAATATCCATGCGTTAGACGTTATCCTCTTGGTTTGCTCACCCGACGACGTGGGATCGACACGCTTGGTGCCATGACCCTCGGCTTTGGAGACAGAAGTGAAGGGATGGGTCCGTCATCTTCTTCGTTGTCCGAAGGCGCAATATCTGGAAGATACTCTTGGCTGTCATCAACGGGTTCGTGCATTTGACCGCTGTCATCCTCAAACGGTGAGTAGCGCATGGCACCGTTAGATAACGGTTTCCCTGAGCGAGCAGGACGTGCAGAGCGTGAGGACATCTTAGTGACGACGGCTATGACTGGTAGGAGCCGGTAGAGAAGGGTGTTCAGCAGATACTTGATGTTACTGTGGAAGTGCTAGTATGGTGTAGTGTAAGAAATTAAAATTTAAACTAGAGAAGAGACACCTAAATAGTACTAGGTCCCATCCGTACCAGCGGTCAAATAATTAGGCATCTGCCTCTCACTACAGATGTGGTAGGTGCGTCACCTACCCCGCCTTTACAAAAAAGAGATGAGAAGGCATAGGTGAAGGCAAAGGGCGGTATGTTGTGAGCAACAAGAGCTAGCTGGCGGTGTCTGAGGGACAGACAGGGAGTGGCTGACGCCGTGCGAGAGCAGCGTTTGCAACGGGCAGAAATGAACAGGCAAACAAACACAGACGCCAATGCCGCAGTGACGGTGGGAGAAGGACTGATGTTGAGTGGAGGTGGACGATACGCAACCTCGGACACAACACAGTCACCTTGTTTGAACAGAAAGATAAGCACACAAAATGATAAGCGCGGGCAGAGTCTGGGATACGAAGTATATGATTTGAAGTTCAAATTTGATTATGATCTGAATAAACACCAAACAAACCGAAGCGCTAGCTAGACATTGTAGTGACTGTGCAGCAACGCTGTACAAAATACCAAATGAGTATACTCGCAAAACATCAAATCAGGATGCTACTGTGTACGGCCACTCCATCGCAGACCCATTTAGAAGATCTCGCCAAGTCGAGGCTTTCCACCTTTCCAATCATTGCGCTCGTAGTATCGGAAGACAAGATCGTAGCCATCCAAGTCATGTACAATGCGGTCGACGCGACGGTATCCCGCAATTGTCTCCATCCTCTTCGCCTTCTCAATGTCCTTGGCGGGCATCTCGTCAGCAGTAGGCTTAGCCTCGAAAAGAGTGACGCTGAACCTGCCAGGCTTGAATATGCCGACGACATGCTCGACGACGTCAGCCGTCTCTCTACCAGTCTGGCGGGCAGGTACATTGGTCTCGAACGAGGCGTAGGAGCACTGGGGCTCAGGTGTGACGTGTACAGTGAAGTAGTGGGTGGCATCAGAACCCTTCTTGGAGCCGTTGGGAGCACCACCTGGGGCGGGAATGACGCCGTTGGCAGAGAAGCCACAGGGCGTGAACAGGTAGGCGTCGATGCGGGCGTCGGGGTACTTCGAGGTAGGGTAAACATCGGCCAGACCGCAGTGCTCAGAAACAACTGTGCCGAGCGTGTGGCCCTCAGTGGTCAACTCCTCCGGGAAAGTAAGCTCCTCGTCAGAGTTGAAACCAGAGTGGTCGGAAGAAGTCTGCTCGAATACGTCGAAGCTGTCGTCAGAGGTATGGGTGTTGGCAGCGGAATTGAGAACAGTGGAGCCGCCGAGGCTCTCGCTGTGGCCATTCTCTTCCGCAATGGTACCTAGGGACTGGATAGCGTTCTTGCGAGCCTCACGGGCCCTCTGAATGTAGCGACCTTCCGCAACCGCACTTGCGTCCTCTAGATAGAACTGACGGGCGTTCTTCTCATCGAGGTCGGTCATCAGGATCTCCAGAGTCTCGTCCTCTTCTTCGTCGGTGGCCTGCTCACGCAACATGCGTTGAGGGTGGCTCACGAACTTGGTCTCGGTATCAGGCGCAAGCTTCTCCTCACCAGGACTGGGAGGTGGAGTGAGGCTGGTGTCTGGACCGGTGATGTAGAGGTACCAATGTTCGCCGTTCATCTTGCCAATCATATAGGCACTGCCACCCTGGAAGCGGTCGTCAAGGTAGCGAACCTCATCACGCCAGCTGCGGTGGGGTCCACGCTGCTGATCAGGGTAGAGATAGTTCTTCCTGCTGTAGAACACGCGGTATGGTGTGGCGGCTGGCGCGACGCCTGATGCCTTGGGTGCAACGAAGGGGAAGCCGACCCCTGCAGCAATCTCCAGCATACGGGTGAGACCCCATAGTAGAGTTGTGGTTCCGCAGGTCTTGAGCACGACCTTGTGAGGAAAGACGAACATGCTCGACTCGGACAAGAGGTAAGCATCGACATGTTCAGACTCGATGACAGAGAGAACCTTGCAGTTGACAAGATCGAGCATGTCCTTCCAGACATCTGCCGACACCGTCTTCAGTCCAGTCGGGCCGGCCTGCCCAGGCAGTTCGGTAGCAGAAGCGCTAAACCATACTTCCAAGAGCTTCTCAGGACCCTCAAACGAGTTGGTAGAGTCGAGATCGATGGTAGCCTCCTTGTTGATGGTTAAATGAGGGGTGCCAATGTGCGACGAAGGCGAGGCAGTGTAGTGCTGAGGAATCTCAGTAGCGACCATCTCTTGACTGTGTGGCTGTCGCGCGCACGAACAGGTATGATGGGTGTGGTTGGTGGCCGTGGCTGTACGGAAGCTTGGTGAGGTGGCTAGCTAGGAAGCTATGTGCAGCACAACCTCGCTCAGACAAGCAATGCGGTGCTCGCCTGAGAAGAATTGGCCCACGGGTCGCAAAGTGTAGGCGAGGCTGGCGTGTGCCAGCAGCAGTTTATGGAGGAGAGGGTAACCGACCGTAGTCGATGTTAGGGAGGTCGGGCGTTGAGGGGAATAAACGAGGCCTTTCGCCGGGAAATGGTGGCAGTGGTTGGGGTCCTCGCGATACCAGATTCCGATACCCTGGGCAAGTATCGGGTCCAGCAGACGAGGAAATCTGCTTTAAATGGGTACGATGGTGGGTGGTGAAGGACGGGGCGTGGCGGGTGTTATCGAGGCCTGTGAATAGTCAGCACTGGCCCTTGGGATGTCTTACACGCTGCTTCTCGCGGAGACAACGACTCACTTCGCAGGCTTGGACAGAAAGCGTACCAGGTCCTCGCGACGCATAGAAGAGCCGAGGTGGGCGGCGGTAGACGGTCTGCGGGCTACTGAGGCCTAGGCAGTGGTGGAGAGGGAGGAGAGTAGGTCTGCCAGCGTGACGATGTAGGTCTGGTGGGGAGCGTTGAGCAGAGAGTCAATGCAACGGCGTTGGGCGCTGATAGAATCTGCGTGAATGAGCGGGCGGACGTGACGAGGTTATATTCCCACACGGCAGGCGCGAGAGATATGGACGTGTGCAGAGTGTCAGGAGAGCGACGTACTGTGCGCAGTGGGTGCAAACTTCACTAGGGCAATTTGACGTGTGTGGTGCTGGGGCGACGTCGTGGAAGCTTCGGGCCTTCACGCGACTGCGATTTTTCACGAGTGCGGTGTTTTCGCATCAGGACGTCACCGCCCGTCCCAGTTGGCTGGAGCGCCCCGCCGTCTGCCATTTCACCCGACTCGGCCACCCGCCATGTGCCTGACACAAGACGCGAATAGGTCCGACTGCCACTGCTGCCATGATCGGCTGCTGCTATGTACATCAGGGAACATGCTGCCTCTGCCATTCCATACTACGCCCAGACGGGATTAGCAGCACATGATCACGGCTTTACACATACGTACCAATGGTACCTGATCTCACCAGCACAGCCTTAGCCCATCAATCAGAACCCGATGGGCATGCACTCTATGCTCCTTCGCAATCTCTTTTGTCAAAGTATCCCAATTCTAACGCAGCTGCTTTACATTACTGCGTGCGACCACCTCTCACCACCAGGGCGAAAATACACACCATCCAATATAGCCAAGTTGATTGTATTGCCCGGAATAATAATCGCACAAACTGCGTATACATGTATAACACCTCCCCATAAGGACACCAGGCCCTATGGCGTCAGCACAGCCCCTGCAACAAGCAAGCATACTCCCAGTACTCGTGACTACGGGCCGAAACACCAGGCGCACCCGTCCGTCTTTGTTCCAGCTTAATCGCATACAACAAACCTGATATATCTATATCCTGAATCAACACTTATTACCACCTAACCTTCCCTTTCAGGCATCTTCAACTTCAGCTTCCCTCTATTGATCATCATCTCGAAACATTCTCTCAGATCCAGTACCAGCGCATCTGGTGCCTCGAAGCCTGGCAACATTGCGGGGCGGCCGGCATGGCGCTTCACCCAGGATATGTCCCAGGAACGTGCACCCCACATTAGCGGTGTTGCGGTGCTGCTGTTAGGATGGAGGAACGTCGAGATGCCAAGGGGGGTGGACGTGAAGGGTTGGTAAGAAGGGGATTGCATGTCGATGTGTGCGCGGCGGAGCCAGCGGAGGGCCTATTCGTCGTCAGACGTCAGCGGTGAAGAACATCAGGCGAAGAGTTCAAGGGTAAACCAAGACGGATCTCAGCAGATCTTCAGGTGGCAAAGAGTACGTCACAAACAGCGGCGAGTACCTCCCGGCCTCCTCATAACAAGCGCGTCAGATATATGAAAAAGGTAACGTACCGCTTCAGGCCCTGGTAACCATTGCAACATTGTAAAGTTCAGCACCTCCGTCGGACTCCATGTGTAACTCCTCCCATCGCCGTCCACTCTTTCTGGGCTCGTCGTACCTCCAGGTTGTGCCGTAGATGTCGAAGGAACATCATCCTCTTCCTCTTGCTCTTCCTCACCACCCTGCATCTCCAGCTCAATCGGCGAAAGAAAGGGACTCCTTGGCCGCGACGAGAGCGGACGCGGTAGTACATCTCTTGTATGGATAACATCGAGCAAGGCGGCAAGCAATCCCACAGGTGAGTCGCATAAAGAGAAGGCCAACGTCTGCGGCCGAAGCGAGTAGAGGCGATGGAGCGTAGGTCCTAGCGGCTCACCGCCATACACTGCATCCAATGTTGCCGGGTCTTTCCCATGCAGGCCTTTCGGAGGTGTCTGCAGTTCATTCGGCGTATATCCAAAACTAAGTAACGGCACCTTTGCCCGTGTCAGCTTCGCAATCCGGTACTTGAGATACCGCATCGGCCCGCTCTTCAAGTTCGGCTTTTCAAACGATGGATTCGTAGTATGCACCGCCAGACAACTCTCTGGGTGTCTCAATGCCAAAGCGCGACATATACCAAATCCCCTGTAAGACTTATCAGCGACCACGTAACCAAAGTCGAGACCACGAAAATTTATGACTTACCATCCCGTTCCATGAGCGACGAACTGTGTGTATCCTAACCTCCCCATCAACCTCTGGAATACATCCGCTGTCCCGTGCAAACCAAACCCTTCTTCCATACTCGCATCACTAAAACCAAACCCTGGTATACTCGGTGCCACAACATGGAAAGCCTGTTGTGCACTGTTCGCATGACCAGGCAGAGAGTGTGGATCCGTCAGCCCATCAATGATGCGTTGGACCTCGATAAACGACGACGGCCACGTGTGGCAGAGAAGCAATGGGATAGCGTTTGGGTGTTTAGATCGCTTGTGCACGAAGTGTATACGTAGCGATTGTGTGGCATCAGTGGAGGTGACGGTGGAGGGTATGGTGATGGTTGTGCGGTACTGAGGGAGAGTCGAGTTGAAGCGCGATTCGGCGGCGCGCCAATCGTAACCTTCGAGCCTGCTTGAATGTCAGTTTTTGTGAAGGTCTGGTGTAGGAGAAAGAGGAAATGTACCAAAAGTCCAAGAGCGGTTCAAGTACACTCTTCGGTGTACCTTGCTCCCATATCCTCTCATCAGGTAATTCAAGTTCACGCGGTAAACGCGTCAACTCTAACTTCTTCTTGGTGAGCTCAAGGTATTTGGCAGAGACCTGTTTTGAGGTCAGACTTCTCGGCTCGGCGATAGGTGGATTGTAGGGAGACACGCACATGCATGCTGTACGTGGTGATGGCTTCATCGTCGTGAGGTGCGGATGTATTCATGATTGCAGAGGTATATTAGGTATTGGAGTGAGTCTGTTCTGTTCGTTAGTGCCAGTCGCAGGGTCGGTTTGGTAGGGCGCAACTGGAAATACCTGTCATGTATATCCCATCTCCGTCCAAATGTCGCATCGGTACACAGCAGCCGTAAGATATTCACAAAGAGCTCGCTACCATAGGATTAAGACGCGGAGATTAATGCACAAAAGTATAATGGACACTATTGGGTTGCGGGAGCACTACATTACATGGGGTACCTCCACTTAACCACTTAACACTTTCGTCCGTCGCGAACGCACATCAAGATAAGATCGTCCTGAGGCACGTCAGAACACCCTGGAGCTTGCGCGTTTCGCTTCATTGTAGAGCCATGAAACGAATCTAGGGTCGCTTGTAGATGTCCTTACACTGTTGTTGGCTGTCTATCTCTAGCGCACCAAGATGTGGCGAGTGTTGTGGCTGTGCAGTCGAGCCCAAATGATCGGCAAACGTCAGGGTCTGATTAGGATAAAAGGCCTAACCCGCATGCCAGGCACACCAATGAGCATTCGCGATGCTGTAAATCTTCTCGAATACGATGGAAGTTGTGGCCAATATTTGCCATGTGGCTGAAATAACATTGCCGTGCCATTTGTTACACGTCTCTAACTGTGTTGGCGCCGGCATTACCGCTGCTCGTTGGGGAGCGTTGCGCGCCTTGGGTTGCAACTCCGCGTAGATTGAGGGAGCCAATTCGCTGCACGAGATTCGTCCCGACTGCATCTACAGCCCCTCTTGGCTGCAGAAGTGAAGGCGCTGTGGCCGCAGCTTCTTGAACCTTGAACAACCTTATGCTAGTGTTGTTCCATACCCCGGCAGTACCCTTGGCTACGACCATCTCGGCTGCGAAGACGAATCCCCAGAGTAGCGACTCATACCAACCCAGAGATAAGGCCGACCACTCGAAGAGGTGCACCCTGATAGGCGAAGGCTCAATCCCACGTACTTCGGTCTCGCGTATAGTTTTCAACGCTGCGGCCGTGTCGTTGGCGCTGCCTGAGCTGGGCATCTTGGGACCGAGTTCCGATATCAGCATGAGAATGGTATGCATCGGTAGTTCTGAAAGCCATCCTTCCAACTACAGAGGTCAGTAAAGCTCGTGGTCTGTACAGTGCAAACTTACCCATGGAACGGAGGGAGTAAAGAACTCATTAGTGGCCAAGGCTGGGCCCGTCAGACTATGGAGACTGGTCATACTGTTCTGCCGAGAGAAGGCAGGTTGGCCAACTGGCATCTTGCCCCTTGCCTTCTCCGACATGCCCCTTACTTGAAGCGGCACAGAGTCGTCTATAGATGAGGCTATGGATGCGCTTCTTGACGCGCTTCTCGAGGCTCCTGACTGCGATGGGACAGGAGACCTTGATGGCTCTGATGGACGTGCATCTTCTGCGTCGGAGTCATCATCGTCGCCAATGGCGAAAGCACTGTCCTCTTCCGGTACATTACCTAAAGTAGGTGTGCGAGCTACCGTGGGACTTCTAAGACTGTCGATGGAATTAGTTCGTGTGAGGTCTTCGCCGCCTTCTTTGCGTTGCTGGTTCTGACGCTCGATTTCTTCTTGGCCGCTCTCCAACGTGAAGTCTCGCAGTGCCTGGAACCTTTTCCGCGATCTCACGATGGCGTACACCAGGTTTGGGTTGTCTAAAGACAGTTAGACCAAGTAAAAGAGGCCCAGAGTTGCTGTTCTTACGTGGGTATTGATGCTCAATCATAGCGTTGAGAACTTCTAACAATGATTGCAGAAGAGTGTGGTTGTTTTCGTTGGCGAATAGGAAGCTAGGAGATGACATGGACGCAAAGAGTTGGAGCAATTTAGAGCTCGAGGCGCGTCCGATGTTCTGAACGTAAGCCGCGATGTTGTTGAGGATTGCGAGCAAAGCAGGGTAGATGGCGTCTAGCCTGCCTTTACCAGTGGTGAGTAGGGTATATATAGACTAGCATAATTAGCACAGGTATTGATTTTGATGGTGATACTTACCGTGATCACGTAGTCGGCATATGTGCCATGAAAGTTGGGTATGCGTATGCTAGCCGGAAGCGACTCTTGCCCCTCAAACGTCTTGTTGAGGCTCTTGCCAAATTGCGGCTCGACACTCAACGTCTGGAGCACGAAGATGCACATGCGCACAAGACCCTGCTTTGACAGATCATTCCGCTGATCGATGGCATAGTAGAGCACCAAGACGACGAAATCGTGGGCCCTATCGGTGTCAATGATGAAGGAGCGGAAGCGTTTATTGCACTGCAGTGCCTCCCAAAAGAGCATGATCATTTCGGGTGCCCAGGTCAATGACTTGTGGCTACCAGGGAGGTATGAGGTGTTGGCTTGAAGCTAGTCTGTATCAGCGAGAGAAAACAGCGCATTGGATGTGTTGCATACCGGCTGATTAAGTATTCTCGTCATACCATCAACCAGGAACTGGAAGTCTTGGGGACGGTGTAGACGGCCGAGGAAATGGCGGAAGAAGTTCTTAGGCGCTGGGCCGTTTCCAGACTCGGGTATAGGGTACAGAACGAGGACGAGGAGCAACTGCAAACAGTAGGTAACCAGAACCTGTCGCTGGTCCTTGAAGACGACGTGGTCGTATGGCACGCGCCATGTTGCGGGATTGTATTTGAGGGTCTGTGAGAATTAGTATTGCATAACAGAGCATACCGAGGCACTCACGGTATTGAGCAGCGAGCAGAGGACGGAAAGAACGACCTGCTTGTCGGGACACGTCGCAATGTAGGTGATGGCCTTTACGCCCTTGACTGGTAGCACACCGGCCGACATGTACATGGACTTGCTAGCCAGGGTAAGCAACAAGCGCAGAATTTCGGTCCTGTTGCTCTCAAACTCCTTGGTCGAAGCGACAGGCGTGTTGCAGCCAACGCCGCTCTGCCATATCGCATACGAGACCTTGTTTTTGCCAGCCGCGACTTTGGGCAGGGTGAAGTCGGAGAAGAAGAGCAGGTCGATCAGCGTGTCGATGATCTCCTCAGCCAGCGGCTTGGCTTTCTCGAACTCAGGCTCCTTCTCGGTGGGCGTCTGCTCTGGGTCGGCCTCGTCGAAGATGATCTCGCTTCGCACCAGCTGGCCCCGCCGACTGCGCTTCCGCCGCGCGGCCCAAAAGAATTGGTCCTCCCATGTCTCGAGGTGGTCGGCTTCATACAAGAAGGGCAGCAGTCGCGTGAGGACCCGTATGCAGTTGAGGGCGTCGCGCTCCGGGGCCAGCTCGGGGTCGGGGAAGGAGGGGTGGTTGCGCAGGACTATGAGGCGCGAGGTGACGGCGAGGATGAGCGTCTCGAGATTGGCGAGGTTGTTGTCGCGGGTGCGGCGAATGTCTGCGGGCGAGAAGAGCGAGAAGACATCTTCCGTCGACTCGGGCAGCTCCCAGAACTGGCGCCGTCGTCAGTACAGCAACAGCACAGAGGGCAGAGGGCAGGGCAGAGCATACGCCAGTCCAATAGGCGTCGTCGGCGGGGATCTGCTTGGGCTCAGACAGGCGGAAGACGCCCTGCTTGAAGGACAGTTTCGAGTCGGATGCACCCATTGGCAAGCATGTCACGGCGTCATGTGCGCATTCTAGGTGCGGTAGATTGACACAGTAGATGTGGTGAGAGCAGCCTCGCCGAGAGTGACGTCGGCAGCGCCCCCGAACAAACGCCGGCTATTCACATGCTTTCGCGTCTGGGCGCGTTGCCAGTTCAGACTCACCACCCAGTCGACTTATCTTCGTCGTCTGCTCAGACCGGCACAGTCATCGTCTGCTCCACGCTCAGTGACCGTCCAGAAGTTGCATTTGAATCCAGACGCGAATGCAGGTGCCATACGTCATTACATAATCACCGCGGCGCCTTTCTTTCCCTGTGCCTGCTGCCTCCGCCACCGACACTCCACCCGCGACCGCTGCACGTCCATACCACCCGTCAATATCTTGTCGCTCCCACCGCTCGCCTATTCTCGCACCCGTATACTACAGAGATATATAACGAGGCTCCGTCCTTCAGCAGCAGGCGGCCGCCACGATGCCACCCAAACGCAAGCTAGCGCAGACGGCAGCAGACGCAGAGGCCGAGGATGGCTGGGACGACAACGATGAGGGCCCCATGAGTGATCAGGAGACGTTCGACCAGCTCAAAGAGGAGTTCGACGTCAAGGCCATGACAAAGCGAGCGCGCGCTGGTAGGGTCAGAGACGCAGCGGCCGATCTCTTCAGGAAGTCAGACCAGTGGAGTGCGGAGCTGAAGCCTGACCATCACAATCGCCCGCTCTGGGTCAACGACGCGGGTGGAATCATCCTCGAGTCCTTCCATCTTCTCTTCGATGAGGCCCAGGACTTTTTGATCAACATCGCCGAGCCGCAGTCGCGTGTCTCCAAGATGCATGAGTACCAGCTTACCACCCACAGCCTCTTCGCCGCCGTCAGTGTCGGGCATTCCAAGCAGGAGATTATAGACAAACTCGACCGATACTCCAAGACAGCTCTGTCCGCCGCCATCATGCAATTCGTCGAAAAGTCCACTTCCGCCTTCGGCAAGGCCAAGATCGTGCTGAAGAAGACATTGTCGTACATTGAGAGCGAGGACCCTACCATACTACAGAAGCTTCTACGCGATCCTGTAGTCGCCGAGTGTCGGGCAGATTCAACAGACGGTCTCATCAAGGAGGCCGCCCCGAAGATTGGTCAGATGGCTATTCCGGGTACCAAGCTCGCTGCTGGTGCGAACAACATGGCACAGCAGCAACAGCCAGAAGCTGCACAGCAGCCGCCGCCAAGCGACATGATCGCCACGCTTCGAGAAGACGACGACGATGACGAAGTGGCCCAAGTCCACTCGTTTCAAATCAGAAGCGAAGAGCGCGAAAAGGTCGTCAAGCGCTGTCGGAGCATCGGTCTGCCGCTCACGGAGGAATACGACTTCAACAACGACGATACCAACCCGAACCTCGAAATCGATCTTAAACCCCACGCGCAAATCAGATACTACCAGGAAAAGGCTCTGAGTAAGATGTTCTCCAACTCTCGAGCGCGCTCCGGCATCATCGTGTTGCCTTGTGGTGCAGGTAAGACTTTGGTTGGCATCACAGCTGCCTGTGGTGTCAAAAAATCCGTCATCGTCCTGTGCACGAGCGCCATGTCTGTTGTGCAATGGCGAGCGGAATTCATCAAATGGTCCAACATCAACCCAGAGGACGTTGCTGTCTTCACTGCCGATAACAAGACCAGGTTTCCTCGCCAGGCCGGTATCATTATCAGCACCTATTCTATGATCAGTAACGCTAGGAAGCGTTCGCATGATGCTGAAAAGGTCATGCAGTTCATTCGTGAGAGAGAATGGGGTCTGCTGATTGCTGACGAGGTGCACGTTGTACCCGCCAACATCTTCAAGAAGGTCACCTATGAGATCGCATCACACGCGAAACTCGGTCTTACTGCCACACTGCTGCGAGAAGATGACAAGATCGATGACCTCAACTTTTTGATTGGACCAAAATTGTACGAAGCTAACTGGCAAGAGCTATCGGAGCAAGGTCACATCGCCAAAGTTCAGTGCGCTGAAGTCTGGTGCCAGATGACACCCGAGTTCTACACTGAGTGGCTCAAACCATCGTCCCTGCAAAAACGTGCACTGCTTTCCATCATGAACCCCAAGAAGTTCCAAGCCTGCCAGTTCTTGATCAATTACCATGAGTCACGAGGCGACAAGATCATTGTTTTCTCTGATAATGTTTACGCACTAGAGAAATACTCACGAAAACTGGGCAAGGCTTACATCTACGGCGCGACACCTCAACAAGAACGTCTCCGTATTTTGGAGAACTTTCAACACAACGAGCTTGTCAACACTATTTTCCTGTCCAAGATTGGTGACACCAGTCTCGATCTACCCGAGGCAACGTGTCTCATTCAAATCTCTTCCCATTACGGTTCCCGTCGTCAAGAAGCACAGCGCTTGGGCAGAATTCTGAGGGCGAAACGTAGGAACGACGAAGGCTTCAACGCCTTCTTCTATTCCCTCGTGTCAAAAGACACGGATGAGATGTACTACTCGTCGAAGCGACAAGCCTTCCTTGTCGACCAAGGATATGCCTTCAAGGTCATCACTCGTCTTGAAGGACTAGAAAACTTCTCACAACTGGCGTTTGCGACACCGCAAGAGCGTCGAGAGCTACTGATGGACGTCCTCCTCGCCCGCGAAGAAGACGCAAAGGAAGAGAGGATTGAGGGTGATGCCTTTGGCACTAAGTACGCCTCCAACAAGGGCAATAGGAAGAAGAATGGTGTGAGGCGAGCAGCAGGTACACTATCCGAGTTGTCCGGTGGCCAGACCATGGCCTACATGGAGGTCAACAAGAGCAGAAATAAGGAGCTCAAGGGGACCAAGGGTGTCCAAAATGCCTTCATGCGGAAGCTGGCTAGGTCTGGACCCAAGAAATAATGTGTACAATACCATGGTGCGCGTATATCGTGTTTTGCATTGCTATGGCGTTCTCATTATCGAATACTCTTTTCGGAGTTGTCGAACCGGGTGGTCCCTGTGTGAGGAAAATTGTACTGTCGGACTACTATCTATTGAGAGTACACATCAAGCTTTACATTGTGCCGCCCTGAAGAGGTACGGATGAAATAACACCCGTTTCAGGCGAGCAATTCACATACTCAAACATAGCGTCGCCCTTATCGATGACACATACCTCGTGCCATGTCCGGAATTTCCTCTCATCTCCAAACGCTTTGTAATGTGCAAGTGCACCACCATAGATCTTCAGATGCGACGCGTGGCTTTTGGCCCAATGCTCTAGATCTTCGAGGTTGGCGAAGAAACCCGCGCCACACGATTCCTTTCGCTCTTCCTTACTACCACAAGGGGATTGTACATCCTCATTACGAAGATATTGGATACTAAGAGCTCCAGTCTCCGTTGAATTCTCATGTAGATATTTGAGGCCTTGCTTCAGAGTCGGTTCGAGCTTCTGCTCATACGAATCTGCTTCTTCTTTACTGCAGTTTTCCCAATATTGGCCAGAGCGAATGTGGACCATGTTCTCGTGATTGGTACCAGTCAAGCGTTGGCCTATGCTAGTTGGTGTTGGGCTTGGACGCGGCATATCAGCCGCTCGAGGGAAAAGATCGTGTGCGGAATCTGGGATGCGGTCTCGAGCTGCTCCCCAGTACGTGCTTAGATTGTGTTCTTCGGTGCTGGCTCCAGGTAGTCTCGCCAGTCCGGGAAGATAGTCAAGACCAGAATAGTTCGTTTCGAGACGTGATACTGATGTCTTGAAGCCTTCGTGCCATAGCCCGATGAGTGGCTGACCAGCGGTGGATATATTCTGATGTATATTCCTGAGTTTCAATGACTTCATGGCACGATTGCGTCTTTCTTCATCGCTCCAATAGCAAACCCACACAGTCCCTTCGATGCGACTGTAATTGTCTATCGTAGTGAATGCTTCTACTGCTTCTGGCGCATCGTTTTGTCTGAGCCATTGCTGGATAGCACAGACGCCTTCTTCTTTTGCCTGAGCAGCTACAGTGCTGTCCTCATGCTGCTCGATACCAACGTAAGATGTAAACACTAGTTCGACGTTGGTGGGTAGGCTGAGTTTCCATCGAGGGATAGGAACGCGATGATTTCGAGGTTTGCGAAAGGGATACAGGCGAGCGGGGCAAGACATTTGGCCTGTTTCAAATTGCCGACTGATATGATACAAGGTATCTTGAAGGAGCCGGGGCTGGAATCTTCTGTTCTAAAGACGAATTGTGGCGAGACCCCGCATCCTCAGCCTTATCTCGGCATTAGCTTTCAAAAGGTAGTCTTTACGTACTCTAGTCCGTGTTCTCAACGTCTCCAAGTCCACCTTCCTCCGGCGACGCGGATATCTGATGGCAGCGTCCTCCAGACAGTTGCCGCCTGCAGCATCTGCATGTAGTATCAGACCTTTGCACAGGGGACAAAGAGCTGTTGCGCTTTGTAATGCTCAGCAGTTAGCATGATAGAGCGAGACAGCCAAGCTTGAGCGTTGAGCGAATCGTGGCGTCGATGTGGCTGCGCGTCTCCCCGCACTTTCGGACTTTCAGCGCTTGGCACTCACGGACATTCGGACTTCTCAATCCCAACGTTCTTTCGTGATCTTCCCCAGCGACTCGAAACGCCTTAAACCCCATAACGCGTCAGGCACCACGCCAGGCGCACGTCCAAAGACCCAGATCAATGCCAGTTTGGGGACGACTTAAGTAGGGCTCACGCGTGTTGTTCTCCAAATGTTTGTGAGACTCCTCTGCGACATGTCGCAGCGTCACGAACGGCCGAGTTATGCCTAACCCGACCTGTCGGATGCGTAACGTGTTTGCTGATCGTGAAAAACGTCCGGCTGGGCAGTTTACGATATGGTGATGGATATATATCATGGTGGTTAGCGATTTGTATTTTGTTCTGTAGACTGGTTCTCGACTTCTCCTTCACCTCTCTCTACTTGCACTTTTTTTCGCTTCGTCGCCTGCTGGTGTTGGCAAACCGCTGGACGGCATTTTCTCTTCTTTTTGCTACCTTTCGCATTCGATCTTCAAGAGACGCGGGCCGTCCCTTCCGCATTAACTCCATTTGAACATCAAAGCCGGTCATCATGGGTTGGGGTGTATTGGAAAGCACGCGGTCAGCATTTCCTCGGGGTACCTCTAGATTAGGGGTCAAGGATACGAGCGACGACAAGGTACCCGAACTGGATACTTCCAAAAGGAATGGAGGCATTGTACTCTCCCCGCAACCGTCCGATGACCCAAACGACCCTCTGAACTGGAGTTTGAAGTGGAAATGCATTCATCTGCTCATCCTCGCTTTCGGTTCTGCAGTCACGAACGCGTAAGTCTTCCTCATACGGATTGGACTGACAAATCCTTACGCTCATCTATCGTAGAACCACGACTATGCTTACCCCAGGCTTGGAGCCTCTCACCGAAAAGATCCAGAGCAATGAGGGCGATGTGTCGACATGGCTGCTTACAGCACCAACATTCTGGACTTCAGCCGCAGCTTTCGTCGCGGTTGCGGGAACGGACGTTTGGGGGCGAAGACCGTTCTACATCTGGAGCGTTGTACTGCTTGCTCTAGCCAACTTCGCGGCTTACCTTTCTTCAACATTCCCCATGCTAGCCGTCGCTCGAACAGCTGGTGGTCTCTTCTCTGCACCTTTGTTCACCCTCCTTACCGCAACGATCAGCGACATTTTCTTCGTTCACCAACGAGGTCGATCTATCGCGGTGTGGAATCTGATGCTGAACTCTGGAGCTCAAGTTGGGTGAGTCACAACAGTGACCCGTTACCTCTTCAGCTGCTAACCAAACTTCCTTTTAGTCAAATTATCGCCGGTTTCGTCACCGATCAGTTCGGCGTTTCCGCCAACTTCCTCATCACCGCCCTCATCTACTCAGCTCTGATCCCCGTCTTCTACCTTACCATCTTCGAGTCAGCCTACTTCAACCGTAAGACGGACGATGTCACAACAATCCACGTGCCCGCCGATAAGCTAAGCGCAGAATGGGACGAGGAAGATCTAAAGGCCTCCATTCGACCTGCGAGGCAGACATACAACGAGAAGCTAGCACTGTCTCGCGGCCGACTCTCGGATAAATCGTTCTTCAAAGGCATTATCAAGCCCCTTGGCCTCATCAGCTCACCCATCGTCTTTTACAGCTGCTTTCTCAACACCACAGTATTCCTGTTCCTGGCTGGCATGTCCACCTTCATGTCAATCCTGTTGTCATCTCCTCCATACGATTTGACACCCAGTCAGATCGGTCTGACCAACTTGCCTCTATTTGTGGTCGGTCTGCTGTCTGGACCATTCTTCGGCTGGATGTCTGACGCCTCGGTTGGCCTGATGGCGCGCCACAACGGTACCACTAAAGGCATGGTCGAGCCCGAATTCCGCCTCGTACTCCTCTTGCTTTCGACCCCAATCACCATGGTCGGCTTGATAGGTCTGGGTGCTTCTTTCCAGAACAGTCTGCCCCTAGTCTGGATTCTCGTCTGGATGACAGTCACCAACGTGGGTAGTGTCGCTGGCGTACAAATTGCCATTGCCTACGTCATCGACTGTCACCCCGAGCATTCTGCTCAAGCTTTCTCCTCAATCAACATGATCTCGGCTGGTGCTGTCACTGTTGGTATCACTCCGATGATTGGCTGGCTTGATACTGCTGGACCTATGGCCGTGTTCGGAACCCTAGCATCGGCCGCTGCCATTGTTACCGGAGCTGCACTTCCACTCTATGTCTTCGGCAAGAAGATTCGCGCTTGGTATGAGAGTGCACCCTGGGCCCAGAAGCTTCTTGACTGAGCGCGGAGACGATAAAGAAACGGGACATTTCAGGCATACCGTAGGAGGCGGAAGGTAGACAGCAGTCATTACCGAAGTTTACAACACTATTGCAAGGAGACAAAATCCAGTCACTCACTCGTATTCGGCAATAGAAATCTCCAAGCATACCATCATTCATTTCACCCCATGTATTACTTAGAAGCATGCACAGGACTAGACACGCCATGAAGACCCATGACATCAATGCAATTTCTCATTTTCGTTCATTATTGAACACTAGGGTCATGCAGCAATACACTGTCATCGGATATAGCTATTCCTAATTTGCAGCATTTCGCATCTTCGCATCTTCGACTGCTTTATCCCAGCTTGTTCGCCATATGAATACACCTTCAATGGCAGCCACTATGCCAAGAGCAATCGCAGGTCCCTGTGACATGTTAACAGATGTTAGATTAGGTGTCAGCAGCGGAACTTACACTCCAAAGCCCATACAACCCCCAATGTGGTGATCCAAACCCGGTGCCGAAGCTGATTGGAATACCAACGACATAGTAGGCGAACAATCCAACATAGCCACCAATCTCCTGCCTGCCCAAGCCACGCAAGATACCGTTACAGTTGGCGGCTAACGCATCAAAGACCTGGAAAGTCGCGCATAGCGGTAGGAGCTTTGCGACCATGTCTATGACTTCTTCGTCAGGTGTGAAGAGACGGGGAATGGCCTCGCGAAGGAGCGAAAGGAGTAGTAAGTTGAAGATGCCGACAAGGACCGAGGCAAAGACGGCGACCTTGGCTGCTGTCTTCGCTGGAACTGCCAGAGTAGCGCCGATGAGATTAGCGATACGCGTGGACGCTGCCACGCTCATGGGAAACGGTATCTGGAAAGTGATACCGGTAATCGAGCCCAGCACAGACTGCGCCGCAAGTTCAGTTGGGCCAAGCCACGATGAGCTCAACGTCAATATCTCAAAAGCCAGAAACTCGGCAAGCACCATGATCAAGCCGGGAAGCGCAAGTTTCACCATCGGCATCCAGTTCCTGAGCGCTCGTCGATCGAAACCACCCCAGCATTGGTATCCGTCGATGAATCTGACGTAGAGAAATAATAACAGAGGAAGGATGTTCTCTGTTATGGAAACAGCAATGGGTGCGCCAATGAATCCCCAGCCAAGATGCCACACCATGAACCAGTTGAGGAAAGCGTTTAGTGGCGCGCAAATGAGGAGAATGTACATAGTCGCGCTGAAGATACCTTGCGCCTGTACATAGCGTTTTCCGCTTTCGAAGGCCGCATAGCCGGGCGCTCCGAAGATGAGAACCTTCAAGTACAGTCCGGCTAAGCGTGCCGTTTCCTTTTCTGGAACGATGAGCGAGAGGATCTGTGTGCCGAAAGCCCATATGAGGGATATCGGAATGGTGATCAAGAGGAGAAAGTACAACATGCGTTGCAGTTGTAAACCAACGAGATGGGGACGTCCCGAGCCGTATGCTTGTGCACATAAGGTATCGAGCGAGGTTGCTAGACCCTGGTATACTGCATAGCCCGTTATCGACGCCGTCATACTCGCCAGACTCACAGCTCCTAGTTCGGTTTTGCCAATGTGTCCGACGGTGAAGATACTCGCTACCGGCAAGCTATACTGTAGTAGGAATGTCAAGATAAGCGGTGCGGAACTCTTGGTTAAGACTTTAGCTTCTCGCTGCCAGCTCGTGTTGATCTTCCCTGCTGCAACCGCCTCGTTCCATTTCTTGTTGATTGTCTTGGGTGAGTCCAACCCCCCGTATGGTTGGCCTGGATCACCTTCAGATGCTCCCAATAGCGCTGTTCGCTCGGAGGGTGATTCGACTGCGCTTTCCTCGTCTGGCGTGCTCTTGACTTTTCGCAGTCCTGAAATTGACATTCTAGATCGCACTCGATCAAAGGGTCCCTCGCTTCCAGCTCTTGGGTGCTTGGGCGGGATCAGATGGTTGTCGCGGAGCAGACTCCGCTCTTCGTCTCGCGCGTTCTCCCTCTCTTTCTTCGACAGATGACTGTGTTTCTTCCATGACGTTGGTAGATGACTCCTTTCGGGTACGCTGGACGATATTATGGCGGTGGATCGTGATCCTGGGTTGACCCAGGAAGGCCGGCGATAAGAATTTATCATGGAATATTGCTGCCGGATTATATCCGAACCCGAGGAAGACTCATCGTCATCCTCTGATGCAGACTCGTCTTCCTCGCGATCTCGTGCAATAGCCTCTTCTGCTATACCCTGTGACTGAGTGAAGCCCTCCATTTGAGACGCGACATCGTTTGCGAAATCATTGACGGAATGTTCTGCTGGTATTGTTGGTGGGGCCATTGCTGACGGGTTTGAGGCGCGAATCTAAGATCAGATGCGCCACCCACTCATAAATATGTTGGTGAAAGAGAAACGAAGGAATATAGAGGGCAGGACTACCAGAAAGTCAAAGAGTGGGGACTGACTGATATGGGCCCTCGCATATGACTTGCATTGGCTGACAGAATTCGTATGCATGGTCTAATGCGGCAGCTGCAAGCGAAAATAGTGTTGGCTTCCGCCCTGGCTTAGATACATGACAAACGGCAGTAAAGGGCGCACGTCGTGACTCTAACCTGCACGATTATGACTATTCGGCGGTTGCGGCAGGTTGAAGGCCGGCTGATCTTTGCAGGATATCGTCGGCTGAGGCTGATTTTCGTGACCTAGCGCGCGTGCGCACAGTCAACCAAAGGTGGAATGCCTCATCGGCTCGTACTACGCCGGACCCCGATCACGTCACCGAATATTCTCAATGATTCAGCGTCAAACGCAAGGCACGATATGTAAAGAGGTTTTTTTCTCGAACACGACGACAACAAAGGTCCGGAGTAAATTAGAAGTAGTGACGAGTCATTACTAGTCTTGTGGAATGACTGCTAAGGGGTATGATGTGCAGCAAAAATAACTCTAAACAACGACTCTTCGCAAACCTTCAGTGCCACCAAGTATCCTCCTTCCGGTAATAGCATCTCTTCCTTTACCACTTTCCCATCTTCCCTCTCTGCTTCCCTCTTCCCTACCCCAGCCCTCATCTTCTGCTTCTCCATCATCACCCGTTCGAAACCCTGCAGCACCCTCCATGAAGGCGACCTGGCGGTCGTGATCACCCCCAACCCACCTGTGTATGCAAGTATAGCAATAGACATATCCCGTAGGCGAGGCTGTGGGTGTTACGATGGGTGTTACGCAGATGGGACATAACGTTGATGATGGTGGTAAGGGTACAGTGAGGATTGGGAGGAGAGTGGTTGAGGATATCGGAGGGTCGATGCGTTGTGGTTGGTCCGACAAAGACGATGTCGGACGTGCCTTCTCGGAAGACTCTCCCTGTTTCGAAGGTTGCTTCGCGGATGGCGGTAACGAAGGTAATATTGGCGGTGGTAGGTCGATGTTTTCAGCGGCTTTCCTCGATAGCTGTCGGGCGAAGTCTGAAGCATGCCACCATTCTAGGAACTTGAGCGCGAAGATACTGGTTGGAAGAAGAATCTTCAGCGAACTCAACAAGCGCGGCTCTATGCTCCTCGCAATGTTCCTTGGCGAGAAGATGGATCCGCCTTCTCCAGGCCGCGCCGGGCCAACCTTCCTCGGCGCCGTCGCAATCTCAATCGCCCTGTGATCCGCCTCTCCCAGTCTTCGTATACGCGAGCCGATCAGCCACATGAATGGCGAATGATACTTGGTCCCATCAAAGAGGTAGGCCATGTTGAAGGCCAGCAAGGAAAAGTAGTAAGCAGCATTTACACTCGGATATATGTTGCGTAGAAACCACTTGTAGTAGTGCATCAGCCTCTCCTTAACGCTGGCCCCTGCTCTTAATCCTTCTCTGTCACGGTTGTACCCGGGTCCCAAAAGGTTGGCATGCGCAGCATGGACATCGTAGCCCTCATCGAACTTCCTCTTCAGCCATGGGAGGCCGACCAGGACGGCGAGGTTCTTCCATATGTCGCCATTGCCCAGCTTTACAGCCTCTCGTACACTGTCCGATGCGCCCAATTGTGCGCGCGGTATCTCGCTTCCTCGCACTTTCAGCACCCGGGCGCGCTTCAGCCCGTAGAAGTTCTCGGTGAATGATCCGCCGTATGTGCGAAGGAAGTGGCGCTCCACTAGCAGCATAAGCAGCGCGTAGACTTCATCGAAGGAATTGAGTATGGGGAGCAGGTAGCGTGGATATCGGGGTGTTGTGATGGCGAGGAGGTAGCGCAGCGACGGGGGCAGGAGCGATGCGAGCTGTTGCTCGGAAAGGAGTTCGAAGAGCGAGGGCTTGAGGTCGTCTATGCCATGCTGGAGGGCGGGGAGGAACTCCATGTCGGCCTGTGAGAGGGACTGGGAGATCGGATGATCATGGGGTTGGGGTTGATGGGTGTTGTGGCATCGTCGGCTTCGCGATGGTTGATGCGGAAGGTACGCGCAGCCGAGGCAGGAGCGCTCGGGGCTAGCCGTCGCCTCCGCGTCCGCTCGACGCGTGCACTCCTTCCTACGTCACATGCTTCCCCAGGCGGCAACTGACACCACTGCGCTTCAGTCATAGCAAATGTAGCAGCAACACGCCCTCGTATACAACAATCTACTCCGCCACGATGTATTCAGACGACCCAAGATGTACCGAACTCGCGTATCCCGACCTGGTCAACTTTGGCGTCTCCGTGTAAGCCTGCCCTGTTCGTCGCATGTCAACACAGCTAATCACCGTCGCGTAGCTTCATAGTCCTCGGAATACTCGTATCCTACCTTCCACAGCACTACAAGATCATATCGCGTCGATCATCGCGTGGTCTGAGCCCCATGTTCGTCCTTTTAGGGACTGTGTCGGGAACCGCTAGCATCGCGAATATCTTGACCCTGCCGGAAAGCACAAGGGATATGGGATGCTGTAAGGAGATTGGAAGCTTCCCATGCGCAGCAGCTATGCTCGGGATAGTACAGATCGGGGTGCAGTGGAGTTGTTTCTTCTTCATGTACGGCACTCTCAACCGTCCAGCATACTAGACACTAACAACTGACAGCATGCTACTCTTCCTCATCTTCTTCCCCCGAGGCAGTTCACCAGCTATAGAAGAAGAACAAGATACCGACATGCCCACATGGAAAGAGGCCGTCCTCGTCCTAGGTGTTTCGCTCGCCTTCTTCGTCGTCGCATTCATCGGCTCCGTCGTTTTCGTATACGCGCTCCCTTCACACGTTCGCGGATGGGCAAACTTCCTCGGCTTGCTTGCTACCGTCCTTGCCGCTATACAATACATACCACAGATCCTCATGACTTGGAGACTACAGGAAACCGGAAGTCTATCCATCCCTATGATGTGCATTCAGACACCGGGGAGCTTCGTCTTTGCCGCAAGTCTATATGCGAGGCTAGGACCTGGAGGCTGGAGTGCTTGGGGCTTGTTCATCTTTACGGGCATCCTCCAGGGTTTCCTACTCGCTATGGGTTTGTCTTTCGTTCTGAGAGATAGAAAGAAGCAGAGAGACCAGCAGCTTGCTGATGCCGATGGGAGCGGCGTTGCTGGTGATAGCGAGCGAGCGCCATTGCTGCATGGTGAAAGATGATATCCTGATCCTTGATACCACTGATATTCAATCTCGCCTAATAATTCTAATACTTTCACATTTCTCTTCGATACAGACTTCTTACCGAGTACGCTTCCTTACGTTTACTCTGTTCATGGGCTTGGAAGCGCCCAGAGACGGACCTTGACATCGAGGTACTCGCGCCCTTCGCGAGCTATATATGCTGGCGTCGCCTCACTCAAGTCAAGATAAGACACATCACATTCTTCGCAACTTTGGGATCCAACTCAGCCGCATGAACTCACCAAAAGTATTCCAGTCGCAGGTTTCTGTTATCATGGATCATAGTCCCGGATTCATATTCAGTTCGCCGCTCGGACACGCCAACACCACCAATACCCAGGAGCCATGACACGGAACGTACTCATCGGTGAAGCTTGCATCGCTTTACATCGGTCAATCAGAGACCGTTCGGATATATCGACTTCTCTGGTCACCTTGCGATAGAAGAGACTGGATTCGTGACGATGGTAACCTTCCCGCCAAGCCAGTCTATCGCCCTTTGGGCAGGTATCAATGTTTGCCCCTTGGCAACTTGGCAAAGACCGATCTACTCTCTTGTGACCTTCTTTTCCGGACACAGCACCTGCAAGACGATGATAAGAGTGGGCCAGGCACGGTGTTCCGCGCTCAAACAAGCTACATTTACCCAGGAAGCCGAACGTCAAGTGGCGGGAAACATGCGTATATGAGTTCGGCGCCGCCACCTAAACATGGGCGACGTTACTCGCACGCTCGTCACATTTGGGTCCTGGAGAAGCTAGCCGACTAAAGTGACAACATGAAGGTTTCCAGTGCTATCGTCCTTGCGGGCGCTGCGCAAGCATTCGCTGCTGTGCGACCCCGGCCTATGGTATCCTCTGGACCAATCCAAGCTGAGATCAAGACTGAGAAGTACGGGCGTCTATTCGTTGATTCGACGACACACTGACTTTTCTAGGCTGATGGGTAACCTCAAAGCTTTTGACTCCATCGCAAAAGCAAATGGCGGCAACCGTGCTTTCGGTCTTCCGGGCTACGCTGCATCTGTTGACTACATGCTCGCCAAAACCCAGAACACACACTTCAAGACATGGACTCAAGATTTCCCGGCTCTTTTCAACAGGATTGAGTCCATCGAATTCAGTGTGAGCAACAGCTCTTACCGTGTCATTGGATTGTCCTACTCGCCATCGACCACTCCGGAAGGATTGACGCTTCCGCTTGTACTGGGTGCTTCTGGACCCGAAGGTTGCACAAACGAAGCCTACGACAACCTGGATGTTGAGGGCAAGATCGTTTTGGTGCAAAGAGGGGCCTGCCCTGATGGTACTACCCTCGCTGGTCGCATGAAGCCTGCCGCTGCCGCTGGTGCTTCTGCAGTAATCATCTACGCAAGCGACACTGCGAACGTTACAGGTGGCACGTTGTCCAACCCTAACCCCGAATACGTGTCAACCGGCTACATCAACCTCGCCGACGCTGAACCCCTCGTCGCACGCCTCACGGCCGGCGAAGCTATCGAAGCGTACTTCCAGCAAACCCAAACCGTAGAAACACGCATCACACAGAACGTCTTCACCGAGACCAAAGACGGTGACCCAACTAACGTCATTATGCTCGGTGCGCATCTTGACAGTGTACAAGCCGGCGCTGGTATCAACGACGACGGCTCAGGTAGCACACTTATTCTCGAGATTGCAAAGGCGCTCAGGAGATTCAATGTCAAGAACAAGGTCCGATTCGCATGGTGGGGCGCGGAGGAGAACGGTCTGCTTGGATCCAAGTACTACACACAGAACTTGAATGCCACAGAAGCGAACAACATCCTCACTTACCTCAACTTCGACATGGTTTCCCGCGGTTACTTTGGTGTCTTCGATGGCGATGGCAGCACTTTCAACCTCACGGGTGCGCCGGGATCGGCAGCCATTGAGAAGCTCTTCGTCGAGCATTTCCAGAAGGAGGGTGTAAACGTGACAGCGGCACGCTTCACCGGTGGAAGTGACTACCAATCTTTCATGAACATTGGAAAGCCCGTTGGAGGTCTCCACACTGGCACTGGTGTCGAGCAAGATCCCTGCTACCACCAAGCTTGCGATACGATTGACAACCCCAACCCAGAGACACTTTTCATCAACGCCAAGGTAAGCACCAAGAAACCAGCTTACACAGTGAGAACATCTGCTAACAAACATAGGCTGCTGCACACGTACTTTCCATCCTTGCCACCAAGGGTGAGCAGATTATTCCCAAGAGCCCGGTGAACGCCAGCATGATCACTGAGCGTGGTATCATCGGTGTTGAGCCGAGATGGACGCTGCCTGCGGAAGGAGAAATGCACCTTTCTACGTGCGGACATGAGGTCTAATCGTCTAGATCAAAAGATGTGTATATAGCTAGGGTCACAGTCAAGGCCACAAAAAGATCATGAAATGAACTGAATGAACATCAATAGTGCCACTCATTAGGTTCCTAGATACTCCTGTTCCGGCCGGCTTTAAACTCATAGTTGTGACAAACGAGATGGTATTGTGTTACGCTGTATTCTGCCTCTTCCCTCTGAAACCACACGTTCACCCTCTCTTTCCACCCACTTTCGCAAACATCCTAGACATGAGACTCTGTTTATTCCGCTCGTGATGGTTCAAGCACTTTGCCTCATCAACACAGAGATTCAGAGCGACCGCTCTCTTCGCCACCGCCGTAGCTTCGACAAGGAGATGCTGACCCTTTATTGCGGGTGGTTGACTTTGTGGCAGTGTCTCGTAGCGTACCGAGCTAACGGAGCAAGCTGTGTCGTGGGTCATCTGTGTCCGGCGTTTGATGGCTTTTGTACTTTTTCTGTGGTTTCTCTGCCGTACGCTAGGTATGGGCTTCTCGGTGGGTACAACGGCGCCACATCTTGCATGTTTGTATGCAGTAGGTAGCTCGTTTTTCGGTTGGTGTTGAGACTTCGAGTCTGGTGTTGTTGCGTTGGCTTGGCTGCACACTGCATGGCTGATGGATGACTTGCGTCCTGCAACCAGCTCATCCATGGCTCTTGAACTTTCATGCGACCGTTCTTTCCTCTTCTTTGATTGCTCTACTTTTGGCGTAGGAACCTGAAAAGTGAGTTCATGCGTGATCTCGGAAGGCGCGTTTACTCTGGGCTCGGGGTCGGATGATACGAGTCCTTTGCTGATCCGTGTCTTTGATCCGACTGTTCCCGAAAACCTTGCGCTGTCGCTGCGGTGTACATGAGGTGCTGAATGTTCAGGGTCGTCATCTTGATCTTCATGGGCAGCAATGGTCATTGCATCCTCGTTGAGATCGATCGACGGTCGGAATACCGAGTATATGCTTTCGCTTCCATCGGAATCCTGGTAACCCCGTTCCTGTACACTGATCTCAGGAGTATTATCGCCCACGCATGTATCTGCTTCAGACATCGCGTCGTCCAGCTCATCCTCACGATACAATAGCATGTTGCTCTCGTATCTGACACATTGCCTGATTTTGTCTCTCAGTTGGTCCTCGAAGTATACTTCGTCACCTTCACCATCTTTTCCTTTCATGGGACAAAGATCCAACAATCCATTTCTCTCTGCCAATTGCGCCTTGAAATACCCTCCGTGCCCATACCAGCCTTCCACCGTTGCTCTTATCGCTGCAGGGCACTCATAACCTATACCCCATCCTGTGTGGGTGAGCACATCGTATAGATACTGGCGCACGACAGTGAATCCATCGTTCTCGTCCGGCAAGGCGTGTGCGGGCGTATCATCGCGGGTATCCAAGCGTATAAAACTGTCAGAAGAAGGTACTCGGAAAAGACTCCAGCTCAAGGCTCGATATCGGTCTCGCGCAAGCTTTTGGGTCTTGACAAGACTGATCGGGGTGATGGGATCCGAGGATGGGCAGGGCTCGGGGTGGCGCATTGTGGCGGCGGTAATCTATCGAGGCAGGAACTTGTGTAGCGGCGATCCAGGCCCTAGAAGGTGTATATCTATGGGCTGAAGTGGCAATTTCGAGACTACCAGTTTAGAGGTCAAGGGACGTAGCGTAAGTTTGATTCTTGCAACAACAATTTAATGGAGAGGACACATTCAGGCAGACGCTGAATTACAGTGGGAGTTAATGTGTGTTTCGTTTAGCTGCTTAAGTTTGTCACATCCAAACTCTAATGTGGTCGTACCAAAGTGATGTTGGTAAATTAAATTTTCTGGGTCGTGTATGGCCCCAGTGGAACCAATCATGGGCTTCCGCAATCTCATGGCCGTGAACGCTGGGAGCGGGTTTCAGCAATTCTCCAGAAAATGGTACCATCATATACTCCTCGAATATCGGCCTTGCGCATCCTTCCGTCCTGTGGCCATAGCAAAATGTACATGGCTATCCCTGTTAAATGTCAGTATCGTATGCTCAGTCCGTGAGGTGATGAGCCGCAACTCACATTCTAAGGCACCCGCAAACCATCCGAAGAAATCATTCGCGCGACATTGGCCTGCCCAAACGTCGTATAGATCTCGCCCGGTCAGGTAGTCCTTGCCCCCCGCATATTTCTCGAATATCGCATCGAAGCGTCGCGTGTCCAGCTCGGCATCTAAGTCGTACGCGCCAGTGGTGCTTCCATGTCTGTTGCGGTTGACATTATCAAGGTAGATGGCAAAGAGCGGGTGCGGCAGGAAAGAACTCTGGGTGCTGTAAGATGAGCACACAGCCATGGTGACCGCTGCCCATAGACACAGAGCGATGCTGAAACCAAGTTTGCGGAAGCCTATGAATATGTCCCATGGGTAGATCACCCCGTCCTGATCGGCGTCCCAGAAGTCGCAATGCCGGCGGAGGGCACTTCGTCGAGTGTTGGGCCTGCCCTGAACGTCCCGATGTGTGATCACCTTCGTGTTCCTTCTCGTTCCTATGCTGTGCTTGTCATTGTAACATTGGGGTGTAGCGTTAGCCTCGCCGGTTTCTCTAGAGGTGCCGTTGCATATATCCCCAACTCCAGCTAGCCAGTT